GTAGAGCCTTCCACTGCTTCTTTCTGTTTGGGGCAGAGATGGGCACTCATGCTGACTTTGCTTCATTTTATTTATTTTATTGATTTTTCAAATGGCTGGGTTTTTTCTCCTAAAAGGACCCTGGAGCCATGCACAGCTTGGCTGTACATATGAGAGCTCAGGATGAGGCAGAGGCTGTGCTTGACCTAGGGCTGCATGGAGACATCACTGAGAAAGGACCAGGCAAACCCCCATCCCCTGAACCTCAGGATCTCCCCAGAAACCTCAGTGCACCCCAGAGACCAGGACATTCCTCCTCCCATCACTGGGATGCTGTGTGTGGTCTCAGAGAAGGAAGACAATTAAGTCTGCAGCATCACAGTGTGATTCATTGCAAGGGCCATCAATGGGAGGTTTAATGACAATTAAAGAAAAATTAAATGTGTTGAAATCCTTCACTTTAATGGATTCCTTCTTGATTAGTTGCATTCAGGAATAACCTCCATTCCATCTTTACTTACACTGGTAAGCAAACAACATTAATGTGTATATAAGATGACAGAGTAAAATAACTCAGTTGTGTATGTGATGCTGAACTGAACTGATTCATCAGGAAATGTTTAATATGTTCACATTAAGTATTTCGGGTTTACTAAGTAATGATAATCAACTTGTTATTCTCATCACACAACCCCAGCACAATGCAGGCATTTTTACCAAAAATTTTCTTCTTCCTGCACTTTCCCAACTGTTGGGTTCGTGGCCATGGTGAACTCTGGGCCCTGCAGACCCCCAAAGGGGACCTTGGTGCCTCTCCCCACGCCGAGGGGCTCACTCCTGCTGCTGGAGGAACCTCAAGCATCCCTCTGTCCTGCCATGGGCCCACAGACCTGCAGCACGACACCTGCAGCTCCTGGGGAAACCAGGCTGGCCTCATCCTCCTCCTCCCCCTGTGCCTCAGCCACAGCCATCACAAAAATAGCCACTTCTAACTAAGGGTGCCAGCAGAGCACCCACATCATCCCGAGTATCTGGCTGCTGCCAGGAGCATGGAATCCCAGAACAGTCTCTGTATCCCAGATTTGGGTACTGGGGAGGGGGGTGATCCCTGCATGGCAGAGGGAAACACCAACCCCTCACTTCCCAAGTTACCTCTTTGTTTCCCTTCTCACATCTGAGAGGAGCTGCAGCCTATTCCTTCAGATCTTAACAACCCCTAAACTATTTTTAATAAAATGCTGCTCGGTGTGACACCAACACACACGTAGCTTTCAATTACTTTTTAGCACTCCCAGTAGGAAGCAGCTCTTTACTGAGAGAAGTGACTTATGAGAGTGCAGGATTATGGGGTCGGTCTTTGCATTCCAGATATTCAAAGCCTGCTGAAAATAAAACCTGCTCAGCACATATTCCATAGATGAGCCAAGTCTTGTGCACTGGGAGGCACTTCTGAAGAAGTTAAGTGTTTGAAATAAAACGGTGTAGTCATCTAGTAGAACAGAGACATGAAATTGTTATTTATCAGGATGAAACTGGCATTTGGATAAAATTCTGCAGTGCTGTTAATAGCTTCTGTTGACGAGGGAGTCACCACAGCAGCAATGAGGTAGACGTCCCTCTGAGCTTGGAGGAGTGGGATTTTTCATGGGCTGTGAGCAAGAAGCATATGCCTTCAGTAATAACATTCTGAGCAGCTCCATCAGAACGGCCACCACAAATTCATCTTTTTCTGTCCTCTCCAAAAGCTTTGTCAGCTCTGAATAATCTGCTGTGGCTGCCCGAGTGCCACATGGACACCTGCACCTCCTGCATGACATCCGGCTCCCCGAGCAGTTTTATCATCATGATTAAGTTTCTTAACTTAAATCAAGGATGTCTCTGGAGTTCCCTATGACAATGTGAACTTAAGATAAACAATGAATGATGAATAGGCCAATTACTGCAGCCTTCCTTCAGCTGAGACCCTATGTGGCTATTTGGTGAGAGCAGGTATGTGTCCTCTCATCTAACAAATGTTACAGAAAATGGGACCGTTTAAAGCAGAAATGGTTCTGTGTAATCAGCCACTGGCCAATGAAAAATTTGCTTTTATATGGGATGTTTCCTGTCCTCTGTTTGCTGTCTGAGATGCTGGAAGTGGGGAGAGACCCAGCAGCCTGACCCACATACATGCAAAAGCCCCACTTTGGAATAAAACACCCAGAGGCTGCCAGGCCCTTGGGGTGGTGATGTTGCTGTGGGTGGGATGGGGTCCAGGGTGAGAATTGTATCCCCCACATCTCACTTGGACTTCTCCCTCCCCCAGAGCCTCCAGGGGCAGCAGTGCCTACAAACACCCCAGCAGAGCCACCACCACCATCTGCCTCCAGGCAGATCATGGTCTGAGACACAAAAGCAGCAGGAGGGATTTAAGGGCTGGTATGAAGGTGCCCGTTTGTGTCTCCTGAAGGTGAGGAAAACTTTCCTGGGAGACCTACCCAAACCAGGGGAAGAGCCAGTTTATAAGGAGAATGGAAACCTTGGATGACAGCTGCAGGACCAAGGGACAGACCCCTTGGACCATGGCTGCAGGGCCAGGGACAGACACACCTTGGACTGTGAATGCAACATCCCTCACAAACTGTAAACCAGCACTCTGGGTGTATCTTGGGGCTGGAGCACCTAAAAAAGCAAAGCAAGAGTCATTTCCTCTGCTGAGAGGCACCCCCAAAAAGCAGCCAAGGAGAAGGGGCAGAGGTTGGTGGGGTGGATTCAGTGGGCTCCCCCTGGGTGCTGCAGCTCCATGTCCCTCCCCTGGCTCCATCCAGGAGCCGATGCCACCCCTGCCACCCCACCCCCTGCAGCAGCAGCCGCAGCTCGCAGCAAACGATGTGATTTACTTACTACCTATGGAATTGCTCAATTAATTCACTATCCACATTAATATTATGGCTCATTCTTAACTTTACTGTCTCCATCGTTCCAATTTAGTGCTGCTCAGAGATGCTGCCACTGACCTTAATGGGTTTTTCATTATAACAAAGAGCACCTTATTAATCACCGCGGGGTTTCGGCTGGAGGTTGTTGCCCCTGCCCCGGTGCTTTGGGGAGTTGCTTTTTTAGCAGTTCTGAGAACTATTTTATTTCTGCCGGGCTTCTCGCCCCCGCTCACGCTGTGTCTGAACCTCCACACTGTCCAGGAGGAATTTCTTGGTGCAGCATTTCCAGGCACAGAGATGTGATGCGGCAGTCAAGCCATGCTGCTGCGGGTACCGGAGATTTTGCTGGGCAAACTGGAGCCTGCAGGAGAAAACAGAAAGGATGCAGCAGTCGTAGCCAATGAGCCTCTGATTGTCCTGTATAAAAATCAAATGCCTTTTAATCACTTCAAATGTTCTTCTGGGTATCAATTAGTCACACATTAATATCAGTATTGCTTCTCTTCCTCAGCTCACATCAGATTAAGTTCTCCCTTGTCATATAGACTCGCGCTCATTAGCTGCATGGAAAATTAGTGATTGTTCCCTCTTCGTGGACACTGACAGGAGATTTCCATCAGAACTGCTTTCTATACAGAGAACCCAATTGTCATCTTAAAGAGACTGAGGCATTTTTCCCCAAAAATTGTTGTCTTTTCATGGAAAACTCTTTTTTTTTTTTTCTTACTTCTTTCTCTGAAACCCTGAGTGCTGAGCCAGAGCACTGGGGAAGGGGGATAAAATCCCAGTCCTGACCAGCATCATCCCATGGTTTCTGTCCCTCTCTGCATCCCAAGTGTCCATCTCCCCATCGGGAAGGACAGTTTGAGTCACGTGGGGTTTGGCTGCCATCAAACCACCCCTGCTTCAAGGCTGGGTGTTTATAACCCTCTCTATGAAGAGCAGCAGTGAAGAGGGGTCTCATACTGCTCCCTGCCCTGCATGGGGCCAGGGCACAGGGGGCTGGGCTGGCTTTGGGGCTCCATGTGCATGCATGTGTGCATGTGTGTGTGCATGTGCGTGTGTATGCACTCTGTGTGCTCACTCCCATTGCTCCCCATCCCTCCTGGCCAGCAGTGCCCAGTTTTGCAGGCTGTGATAAGACAAGGTCTGCAGCTGCACAGTGGGGCCCCCTGTAGCCCGATTGCCCCTCCCACCCTCTCCATCCCCAGCACTCTCCAAGCACTGGAAGGGACTGGAGATATTTATTGAGTTTTATTAACTCCCAGCCCCGGGAGCTTCTCACCTCTCCCAGGTAGTTCAGGCTCCCAACTCCTGCTG